GCAAATGGAAAGAGAAAAAGAAAGACCAAAGCAATCATGGTTAATTAACAAGTATAGTAAGTACTCTTCTAATTAACAAGTTTTTTGATGAAGCAAGAATAGCTGGAGTTCTGCATCTATTTATACATAGTTTTAAAGCTCTAAGCATGTCATTAGTTAAGCAAAAATTAATTTCCTCTAATTTATTAAGGAAAAATAAAATCATAGTGCCAATATTTGAGTCTGATATTATCTGATGAGCAAGATGCAATGGTATCCAAGTGTCATTTACGTAGTATGTAAAGGAGATATTATTGGCTAAACTTAGACCGTCACAAAAATGAAAGCTCATTGGTTCCGTATTCCAATTACTAAGGCAGCTAACATCAGCCACCGCAGTTTGTTTCATTTCTTTATCTGACAAATTTTTATTAATCAATACGTTACTTAATTCGCCTCCTATAATCTGTATTTTTCTAGACATTCTCCAATATTTTGATTTTCAATTACAACCAAACTCGCATAGTATTCAGAGCAACTTGCACTTTTAGTACTTATTTCATAAGGAAAATTTTCACAACTAAAAATGAATATACTTGAGTCTTAAGATGGAAAGGGTATGAAATAGACGTTTTCATTCAATCTCTTTTAATGTATGAAATTAATTTGCACAAAAAAGTGAGCGTTGGGACTCGTCTGTTGATTCGCTTCTTTCTCCTTTAAAGGTATTGGCAATTTGTAGCCAATGATATATGAACAATTGCCAATTTCCAAATCAAGGAAAGCGGCCAATCATTCAGCTACATATAAACAAAGCCTAAAAGGCAGAAACTCTTTTTTAAGAGGCAGAATTGGGACTCACTCGGGGCTCCCCCCGGGGCAGAGCTCTCGTAAAACGCCCCAGGGCTTATGTATGGGACTTAGTTCCATGAGACTTACGCCTTGGCCATCGGGGCTTACGCCCCGGGCACGCCCAACGCCCAGCGTACTGGGGTCGCCTAATAGAACTTTATGCAATTATATGTAACTAACCTTGTAAATCCTCAAATTTTCTTAATAAATCGTTAACTATTCAAAATTACTTTTTTCTTAATCATAAATCATTAAGTTGTGAGTATTTTATGTCATAATTAAAATAAAAATTATTGCACGTTATCCATTAAGACTGCTATGATAGTTGATTTTAAATAAATCTTTCTTTTAAAAAGTATTTATTTATTAACTTTTGTTATGTGTCTTTGCTATATAATAGTCCATAATTATTTTTATAATTATTTTTTTCACGTTTACGAGATACAATACTTATTAATTTAATAGCTCAGTATTAGCTAGTGATTATTACAAATAATTAGTTATCATGGTATTGTATGGTGAATTATGTTGTCACATTATTAACTTATTGAAACTTAAAAATAAATGATGCTAGAGAATCATATTTAAATTGTGAATTATGTTTTTATATAAATTCTCTTTCAAATAGAAAGCATATTAAATAAAAGGAGTATTTTAAGAAAAATATCAAATTATAATATCGAAATTCTTTCAAGATTTATTACTCCTTCAGAGATACATATAAGATTTCGTACTGAATACATTACTTTTGATGTTTGAGTTGTAACAGCATTGCAGCTAATTTGCATATTATGATATATGTCATACTTTTCGTATTATTCATAGTTGAATTATAATTTATAAATATTTTAAATAGCTTATTTGTTATAATTTTGTGAGTTTAATGTAATTTTTATAATTATTTTTATTTTATACTATCTTAAAATTCTTAAAATTAGTAAAATTTAAAGATCCATGGGACTTACGCCCCATATCTCAAGGCTTACGCCTCGCCTCGTCAGAGGTTATAAAACGTCTTGCCTTACGCTCCCGCCTTTTAAAACAATGGGCAGACATACTTTAAACATATAACACAAATATAAGATGAAGTAAAGAGATCTTGAGTTGTCACATAATATCTTAACAGAAAGAGAAATCAGACCAAAAATTTAATAAGTGAAAGAGCAGCAATCCTAAGTTAATGAAAGTGCTCAAATGAAGTGGTCCATGAGTTGTATATTCACTACTGCTGGTCTCATTCAGACAGGATATGCTTTTTTCGTAGAAATCAAATGTTTTCCTTGGCCACCGCGTGGCAACTGGCAAGGTTAGAGTAATATAAAATTCTAGGTCACCGCACAAATTCCATCTTACCTGTTCAGAGATTGATTTAAGGGATATCATTCTACCTTTTACTGGGTGTTTAAGGGAAAATCGAAAAACCACGTCATGGCGCATATTTTGTACTATATGCGAAACTATATAATACAAATTTTGTGTTGGACTAAATAAAGTAGCAGACAGAACAGGACAGATCACCAAAGGTTATGTGGATAATAAATATTTCCTTCATTTTTAACAAGAAATATCGGGATTTTAGAGTAATATAAGATTCTGTGTGAAATTGAAAATATTTGTAATATCATTTATTTGGTATTAAAACCAAAAAAGAAAAAAAAAAAGGAAAAAAGCTAATTTAGAAACTGAACTAAATATACACCTCCGTAATTTAACATATATATAGCTAACTTTTTGTGGATACAAGAATAAATTTTTGCGTATACATTTGTCTTTTACATTTCATGGTTTATCACTAAGTTACCCTCGACACTTCATTATTTGGGAGACATTTCTATGGGAGAAATTCAAAAATAGCCAGATTTACAAGTGGTCATTTAAAAATAGCCACAGTTTCAAAAGTAATCGAAATTTAGCCACTTTTCATGTAAAGATAAATCTGAACGAAAACACTGTCAAAATCCGAAAAGTACTCCAGCATAATATACTGGAGTTCCAGCATAAGTATACTGGAACTCCAGCATATTATAATGGAGTTTCAGCATAAATATACTGGAACTCCAGTATAATATATCGGTCTAGTATAATATGATGGAAGTTCATACAGAGGTGCTCCAATCTCCATTATATTATGCTGGAAGTTCATATACAGGTGCACCAATCTCCAGTATATTATGCTAGACTGGTCCTTATTGCAGCAAAATAGTGACTATTTTTCAATAACTTTACAAACGCTGGCTATTTTTAAATGACCAGTCCGAAAACTAGCTAGCACGTGCTCTTTTAACCATTTCTATACATGTGCCAAAGTGACCGATATGGTTAAACATGTATTGAACTTATTAGGAAAGTGAGGGGGAAATGGCGATAAACATGCAAAGACATAACTAAATTTTAATTTGATGGTTTTAATTTTTATGTTTAAGTCATTGAACCCCGTTTGCACTTTTAAATTATGGGGTCAAAATATAATACTTACTGAAATAAGCTCCTTACTAAAATTACTGTAAGTCAATTGAATCCATACCCAATGTCTTAACAGGCAGGCGCGTGAGGCGAGACGTTTTACCTTTAACGAGACAAGGCGTAAGTCCCACGGATCTTTAAATTTTACTAATTTTAAGATAGTATAAAATTAAAAATAATTATAAATTACATTAAAATCATAAAATTATAACAAACAATCTATTTAAAATATTTATAAATTATAATTCAACTATGAATAATACGAAAAGTATGACATATATCATAATATGCAAATTAGCTGCAACGTCGTTACAACTCAAACATCAAAAGTAATGTATGCGATGTGAAATCTTATATGTATCTCTTAAGAAGTAATGAATCTTGAAAGAATTTCGATATTATAATTTAATTTCTTTTTAAATATTCCTTGTAATTAATATGCTTTCTATTTGAAAGAGAATTTATATAAAAACATAATTCACAATTTAAATATGATTCTCTAGCATCATTTATTTTTAAGTTTCAACAAGTTAATAAAGTGACACATAATTCACCATACTATACTATGATAACTAATTATTTTTAAATAGTTACTAGCTAATACTGAGCTATTAAATTAATAAGTATTGTATCTCGTAAACGTAAAAAAAAATATTTAGGAAAAGAATTATAAAAATTATGACTATTATATAATAAAGACATAACAAAACTTAATAAACAAATGCTTTTAAATGAAAAATTTATTCAAAATTTACTATCATAGCAATCTTAGTGGATAACGTGCAATAATTTTAATTTAATTATAACATAAAATACTCTCAACTTAATGATTTATGATTAAGAAAAAATTAATTTTGAATAATCAACGATTTATTAAGTAAATTTGAGGATTTACAAGTTTAGTTACAAACAATTGCATAAAGTTCTATTAGGCGAGCCCAGTACGCTGGGCGTGTCCAGAGCTTAACAGAGGCATAAGTCTCATAGAACTAGCCACACACATAAGCCCAGGGGTGTTTTACGAGTGCTCCGGCCCAGGGCGAGCCCCAAGCGAGTCCAAATTCTTCCTTTTAAAACAGAGTCCATACCATATAAAAAGGAAAATATCATCCTCAATATGTTCCGTCAGCGATCATACTGCTTCTAACACAACCTACCAATAAAAACCTACAACTTTTGTAACAGGCAATCAGATTCAGAGACATAAAGGTAATTGAAAAGAAAAACGCACACAGAAGGACAATGTAATTTTCTAAAGCGGAGAATGTGATCTATGTTTATTTTACTGCAAACAGATTCACTTATTTGTTTTTCTATTTGTTCAAGCGGATCCTCGCAATAGCAGCTATGAAAATCAGAAATTATGAGCACCAAAAAACAAAATACAGATTTAGTAACGGCCCTTCGAATTATTCCCTAGTCTAGAAGACTATATACTATATGTAGAAAAGCTTAAATGAGATATGGCCCCATATTTCTGGAGAATGAGAAATAACCAACCTCAAAATATAGTTTTAACATCCAAATCCAGTTTTAACTTCTACCTTTCTCTTACACGTGTGTGAAGGCTAAATGCTATTTTCATGAAACATGATAAATAAGTAACAGAGGAAATTGATGGATCAGGAAAACTAAGTTTCTATTGCTGTCACAAAAGAGAAATTAGAGCAAGGCTTCCTCCGGAAGGAAGAAGCTTTTCATTGTAGTTGGCCGTGGAAAGGCTGAGATTGAGATAGAAGTGAAGATGGAAAGATCTGTGAGTTTAAGATGAGCCATGGGCGAAGCAGAAACAAATTTACACTAGTACATATCTGAACAAAATACAAGCGAGAGAAGATGGACACTAGTCGTTGGAAGGCAAAGTAATATCTGACATTATTCAAGTGACAGTTGGAACAGAAAATACTTTTATGTCACTGCAGAATATTTTTCAAACAACACGTTACTCCTCAGCTGCTTCCTCCACTCCCAACTGCTTGCTATATGTGGATAAATTTACCAATGAGCTTCTACAGCAATCCTTCTCCTGCCAATAACAGAAAGTACAATTCCAATAAAAGCAACAGAAGGGAAGAACCAATATTTCATGAAAAACAAACGTGACAAAGGGAATCTGATTTAGGAAACAAATCTGGTACTATAGCCCAAAGCTCACAAATTTCAAGAACAAATTTATTTATTTTTTGTTGAGAAGGAAGAATAAACAATTTTATATAACAGAAGAAAACTTACGGAGCTCATCAATAGAGATACTGCTGACACTTTCACCACCTTTTATAAGCCGAATCCTCCCTGTGAAAAAATTGTATAACATCAGATGCTTTTAACATCTGATTCACGGACAACGCAGTTTTTCATACAATAATACAGCAGCAGCAGGTGGCAGCTATGTATTATTAAATAATTATTTTGCAGTATATTTTTATGTCGGTTATCTCGTATTTATGAAACTATTAGGTGATCAGATACAGAATCTAAAGCAGAGTAACATCTCAAAAGCTGTTTAGCACATTTACTCCCTCAAACTCGATTTCAATGTTATGCTTTCTATTTTACTTGTACCAGTTCAAAGTCTCCAGATTGATGCAATGGTTCAACTTTTAATTCCCAAAATAAACTACTATCTTACTTTAATATGTGGTTACCAAAACTTATGAACAGGGAAAAAGATATAAGATGATATAATGAATGGCAGCTCTAACTCGCAGGATACCGTGACAAATTAACACTCCTTTTATCCAAAAGTTTCAGTAATGCATCTCCATCTTGTAACACCATACAAGATTTGACAACACCTTAGAATATACTCCTATAACATTCAAAATTTAAAGATAAAAAAACATATTCATGGCTAAAACATCATTTGATGTTCTTCCTCAAACAATCTTTCCTTCGACAAGTATAAGTAAATCATGCAAGTCTGATATAAATTTCTAAATGTGTTTCTAAATATCTGTGTCCAATGAAATAATCACATAATATAGGGTGCAAGGAGTACCATTCAATGCAATGTTAGACACCCACATCTTCAAATATGACAAACCACGTGGGCTTACAATAAACATAAGGACTTACCATCTCTGCGCACACAAATTTCTGGTATGCTTTTAACTTCACCGCTGAGACTATCATTATAGACTCTGGTTTCAATATCACCCTCAATGTAGACTGAGGAGCTGATAGAACATATACATTAGAGAATAAACGAGAAACAAAATGTGGTATATAGACGGAAAAAAAGGTGCCTTACTTTTTGGTAAGTTGCTGAACGGAGTACTGCCCAAGCATATCATTGTGCACCGCGACCCTATGCCACTGACCAGGCTTAGGCAAGTTTCTGTCTCCCGTGATTCTCTGATCGAACATGCCACCTGTTCCAACTGTGAAGATAGTTACAGTTCGGCCATTTCTCAATATTTTCTGCACGGGAGATTGCCCAACTCTGCCACATATAATAGCCTGTCAAAAAAAAAATATCCTGCCTTTAAATTGGTCTTTCGGTTACCCGAAAAAACAAAACGAACAAAAATTGAAAAGATAAAATATGACACATCTTTAACATTTTATGTTAGGAAACCAAAATAGATAATCTGACAGTTTCTTTTATTTGGCTATGGTTTTGGAGCGATGGGATTTCTCAAACAAAAACACTGTTCAGAAATCGCATTTCAACTCCAGCTTCCATCATTCCTGTCAAATATATCTTTAACTAAAATAGCTTCATTCTCAACCAAGTTCCTTTTAATTTCTACCAAAAGGTTGTACTTACCCAAGCAGTGTGAATGCAGCTCTTCAGGATCATATCTCCAACACAGAACATAAATATATATATGTGAAAACCTACTTAAATTTCAACAAATACTAGATCTAAACCAGTACTGTTAAAAGTACAGTGAGATCAATGCTAAGAACCTTATGGGTCATTTAGTTCAATTGTGGGATAGACAAGGATATTCCATGGAATTAGCTATCCCGCCTTCTATATAGGATAGTTAATACCATCATTTTGGTAAAAATTTATACCGGTATTAGCTAATACCCATTACCAAACATGGGATAAATACAATCCCAAATTCTATCCAGGGATTAGTATCCTTATCCCTATTACCAAACGACCCCTTAAAGGTTGAAGCCTATCAAGTTAAATTCTGGATCTACCTATGCACCCAAGCCTCATATGGAGTCGGTTGCAACAATTTTTTAGTGCAAACTCAGAATGATCAAAGAGCAAAACAAAAGTCAGTGTAATAAGATAATGGAATAAAATTAGATTAAACACTTAAAGAACACAATCTAATCAAATAGGAGTAGAAAATTGCTCATAAAACTAACATATACTTGTACAACATGTTAGCCTTCTTGTCATTCATTCTTTGACTTCTACTTGTACACAATTTATGACTCAACTTCAATACGCTTATAGGGCTTTCAACAAGAGCACATACCTTGTGCACACCCCGAAAATTCCAGCCCTTTCTGGGATCCACACTTTGCAACTGCAAATCGGGCTTTGCGGGAAGAAAATCATCATCATCAATTTCTATAGCTTCTTTATTACTTACAGGCCCATCGTCATCACTAAGAAATGTACCAGTTGAATAACACAACCTAGAGCTTCCTTGCACACCCATGACTGTAAAATGCAATAAAACAACCATTATCATAAAGAAAACTACTTTTTCAGAATGGCCACCAACTGTTCGGTCAAAATCCTCTTTTTCGAACCTATGTCTTCAATTTAACAAGTACTATTACAAGAATCAGTAATAAACAAAATGAATAAATACAATGAAAGTGTGATTGTTTACCAAGGGAAGAACAGGGTGTTGTGGCAGGAGAGACGCGTAAAAATTTGACGATTTTAGCAGCCATTGAATTCATTTTTAAGCTGAACGGAACTCAGAGACGGGAGAATTAGGGGACAAGGAGGGTTTTAGTTTTACCGCTATACACACTTCATACGGGTCGGGTTTGTACCTTGGGCCAGGCAGAGTTTGCCTGTATGGACCCGAGTACTAAGCACCAATTTGCTTCTCGTTTGTCTTGCCCTAATTTTAGTCAAAAATAGCACGGGCTAGCCAGTTTTCGGACTGCCAGCGTTTGCCAAGTTATAGCCATTATTTTATTGCAACAAAGACCGGTCCAGTATAATATACTGTAGTTGCAGTATATTATACTGGAGTATGTTCCGAATTTTGAGCGTGTTTCGTTCAGATTTATCTTTTCATTAAAAGTGATTAAATTTCAATGACTTTTGAAATTGTGGCTATTTTTGAATGACCACTTGTAAATCTGGCTATTTTTGAATTTCATTTGACAAGTTCGACTTTTAAAATGGTCCTCGCCTTTATCAGTTTTGTTTAATTGAATCTTTACCTAATTATGCTATATTATATTTATTTTATATAATATAATTTAATCCCTTGTTTAATTAGACTTCTCCTACTCTTTGCTAAATGTAAAAATAGCACGGTATAGCCAGTTTTCGGACTGGTCAATCAAAAATAGCCAGCATTTACCAAGTCAATGAAAAATAGTCACTATTTTGCTGCAATAGAGACCGGTCCAGCATCATATACTGGAGTTCGGTGCACTTGTGTATGAACTCCAGCATATTATGCTGGACCGGTATACTTTGCTGGCTCCAGTATATTATACTGGAGACTGGAGCACCGGTGCTCCAAACTCCAGTATATTATACTGGACCAATATACTTGCTGGAACTCCAGTATATTATGCTGGAGTTCTAGTGTACTTATGCTGGAACTCCATCATATTATGCTGGAGTTCCAACATACAATTCTGGAACTCCAGTATAATATGTTGGAGTTCAAGTATACTTATGCTGGAACTCCAGCATAATATACTGGAGTATTTTCCGGGTTTTGAACAGTGTCTTCGCTCAGATTTATCTTTATATAAAAAGTGGCTAAATTTCGATTACTTTTGAAATTGAGCTATTTTTGAACGACCAGTTGTAAATCTGGCTATTTTTAAAATTTACCCTTGCTAAATGTGTGAGATAATTAATAAGACCTTCTTTTATTGACCAATAATGCCAATGTTTAACGTGTTAAGAGTATTGGTTGCAACATTAACAAGTCTTAAATTCAAACCTTATCAATTCATCAATTCAGACTCGCGTTTGTCTCGGTTATACTTCTCGATGTGGCTTAGCTCCATGCCTAAACCTATTTCAAACAGTAAAAATTAATTATAGTAGAGGAATAGTCATCTTCAAGAACATTACATACATAACCATTTCAATCGTTGATGCAACAATTCTCGCGACTTATTTCTCTATGATATTATCATTATTCTTAAGCCATAGTTTCAATTTGGAATTTCCATAAATGTTCCTTATTTACTTGTTCATGAATAACAATTAATTTTTCAAAAAAAAAAAAGAAAGATTGAAGTGTTACAAATGGGCATTGACAAAATAAATTAATGTACTATCATCACTAGTTGAATAATTCTTTAGTTGGCCTTAGAGCTTGAGAAACGAGTTTATTTTCGTAAAGCACATTGATCTATATGTTCTAGGGTCGTAAATCTTCGTCATATTAAGTTTCACAAGTATGGACAGAATAAAACAAAAGTGAATTTTTTTTTTTTTTTGGCTAATAGTGTGAAATCAAATGCTATTTGCGTAGCTACCCCTTGAAGAGAGAAAGAGCGAGTCGGCCGTTAGGGAAGAAAATGGGAGTAGAGGTTATTCCCATGTTGTGAGATAAGCAAGCACTCCACGTTTAGATGAGTTTGATGAGAAAATATGTAACTAACTTCATCATTTAATCCCTTTTTACATAGTGTAATTTTACTAATATAACCTTAATCTCGGAAGGAGCATTGAGGGCATCATTGTGAAAAAAGTAACAAAATCCGTGATAGCATATGAATAGGACACTCCCCTAACCCCATCACCCACGTCTTCTGTAAAAAAGAAGGTAGGAGCAACAATATAATAATGAAAAGGAAAGTTAAGGGAAGAAACAACCCAACTCTTGTAAATATTGAACCATTGTGTTTGGCAAGAGCAAAACCAACTTCTTCAAAGAAAATGAAGATGGAGAAGGGAAGTTTTCATAGTATTCGAACATGGAAAAATCCCAGCTCTCTCCTAAGGTATTCACAAATCAATGGCTTTGCCATGTCCCTGCAACAAAAAGTGAATGAGAGATTCCCCAAGTTGCTTGATGTCAAGAACCCCATGCAAAAGACTGAAAAGGGTGGCCCCAAGGGAAAAAACAAGATGATCAAATGGGCCAAACCTGCACAACTTCTGCCAAAGGAAATTGGTTCCTTTTTCAGTAATGGTTCTCGCAACAAGAAACCATTTCAAAGCTCTAAAAATGACAGAAATGATAATGCTGACGCTTTGGATGACTGCACAGAAGAACGAGATGCGCTGATTGCCTCCAGGAAAAAAGGCAACAAGTTTAGGACTTTGTTGGAAGATTCAATAGAGGGGTTAACATTGAGCAGGTCAGGTTCATTCAAGAAGATAATGAGAATCATAGGTACAAAGGGAAAGCAAAGGAAGAAGAAAGATGAAGCAACATCAGAAACGTCAACTGGCACAAGAAAGCAACCACGGATTTTGTTCCCAAATCTTTCAGGGACCAAGTTCAGGTTCAGGACGAGGGTTAGATTTCGCTTCAACAATTGGAAGACCAACAAAGCAGATACTGGAACAGACTTTGAAGGTGCTGACTGTGGTGCTGTTAAAAATGCCGAGACAGGGAAAATGTCGAAAACCATTAGCTGGGCATCAATCCAGAGGCCTACTGGTTACTGCATCATTAGAAGCATGAAATCCATACACAAAAGAATGATGAAACAGGGGAGAAAATGCAAACATGAAGATGGGGACGAACAAGAGAAAGTTGAACTGGAATTATGCAAGAAAAGGATACTCATGGGAGACAAATGTCGACCGCTCAGTGCATCCGGCAGCCTTCATTACGATCAGAATGGCATTCTACTACCAGAAGTTCTTCCATATCAAGAGTTATAAGCATTTTAAAGTTGAATGTGTGATGCTCATTTCTGCACATTTTAGATTTTTAGGTAGGGTAAACTCTTCATCTATCAGTAAGAATTTCAGCTGAACAGCAACTTTGTCCACTGTACATTTGTGAAGTTAAGACCTTATTGTAATTGTACCTGCTTCTTTGATATACTCCCGTACATATGCTTTTTGAGACTGTAGGAGTTAACCATAAATCAGCATATCCTTGGACCTGGGCAAGCACGACCATTCAAATCTTCCTCAAGTTTTCATCATAAATATGCAGTTCTCAGATCATCAACAGAGCTCAAATGATATTAATTTGTTGGGACTTTGTCGCATCAGCTAATTAATACTAGAGGAACTACGGGACAAAGCCTGCAGCTTCCAATAGTAGATTAGTACCACCAAAAAGGACCAAAAAGGAGCAAAAGAAATAAAGTAAAGGTGCTACAAGGCCAAAAGACCACACATCAGCAAAACATATTGAGAACTACAACCGCAGATGTACATGGTCATAGCTTCAAAGGCTTTAACCCAAGCGATGCCCTAAGCCTGTTGGCTTCTGCTATCTCTGGATCTGGATGATCTGTTCCATCATCTTTCTTTTCTTTCTTCTCCTTCTTTTCCTTCTTCTTCTTGGGTTCATCCCGAGCAGGACTAGCACTGCTGCGAGCATGCCTTTTACGACGATCATCATCACGGTCTTTACGGTCTCTGCTTCTACTTCTGCTCCTAGAATAACTCCTGTGTCGACCACGCTCACGGTCACGTCTATCACGCTCTCTGGCATCCCTGTCCCTTTCTCGATCCCTCTCTCGGCCATAGTCCTTATCGTCTCTGAGGCGATGACGGTCCCGGTCCCTGTCTCTATCCCTGTCACGTCTGCCACGTTCCCTGTCATAATCACGATCTCTGTCATAGTCTCTATCATAATCTCGATCTCTATCATAGTCACGATCCCTGGAAAAAAAGAGGCATAGAAGCTCAAATCAGAAAACAAAAAGAAACCAAGCCCAACAAGGGAAAAGGCATAGCGGCTCGTATCGTAAAGCTAATGTTCTAATCACGGTTTGGTCACTGAGAAGTAATATGATAACACTACCACTGCAGAAATCTAAAATCACAAAGTGTAGCCAAACTAATTACACTATTACCAATTGAAACAATTGGACAGCGGAAATGTATGATCTATCATACTTCTCAACTGCACACTGTCAGTGCAGAGAAACCTGGCAAGATCACAATATTTTTTTATATAGGAAGCTGTGCTGATCACCAAAAGGCCTAAAATGCCATAATGGTTGTAACATGTGAAGTATGTGCTTTGAGTAATAGTTCCCGAGTATCTCTGGGTACTTCAACAATCAGCTTCCAATCAAACAGCAATCAACATACTATGAAATAGTGAACAAAATTTCACTTAACCATGTTTATGTCAGGGTCACCACCTTCAACCCTGACAGATAGCCCCCAACCAGACTCCTACAAAAACAGGAGCTTGACAAGCTACAGTTTTTCTGAATGATTTCAAAACCATTAAAATCATATATAATGATGCACACGCTCTGAAATGAACACCGGGTAATGGTATCAACTTGAAACAGTCACAGTCCACATCTAATAGGAGTTATTTGCAGTTGTAGGACCCATATCCATGTGCTCCACTTTACACAAGTCAGTCGAGGCAAATGAAGAGTCCAGGCCTCAATGCATACATAAACGAAATAGATAACCATACCAAAAAAAACCAAAAGGATTTTACAGTACATAAACGAAATAGATAACCATACCAAAAAAAACCAAAAGGATTTTACAGTACATAAACGAAATAGATAACCATACCAAAAAAAACCAAAAGGATTTTACAGTAACGAAAAAAGATCAACAGATGATTGAGCTCTACCTGTATTTGTGAC